AATTAGGGATGAGTGTGAGTATTATAAACGTAAGAGTAAACAAATATAATATAATCAGAATGCTCCGAACTGCTATGCTATCAGCAGTTACACATGTTATTGTGAGTCAACCATAAAAGATAGACATATGCTGTTGCAGGATATTTTTTAGACAATTTTATGCAGAATATTTTCGTCATATATGATTTCTATGTTACTTTAACCATTAAGGCTGCACTCGCGACGGAAGTCTAAAAAATGGAGTAACTTCTCCCGTTTTACCAACATTTCCCTTCACTACTCTGCTCTTATTGACTGTAGCGTGATGAAAAGTATACTATCACCTGCCCTGGTGTATGAAGAATAATTGTACCAAGTTTCGTTAAAATTCGTCGAGTAGTTTTTGTTTCTATAAGGAACATACAGACAGACAAAAATTTTACTGATTGCATTTTTGGCATCAGTATCGATCACTAATCACGCCCTGATAGTTATTTTGAAAATATATTTCATGTACAGAATTGACCTCTCTACAGATTTATTATAAGTATAGATTAAACTAATGACCAGCCCCGAATATATAAAGACAGTAAAATCGAAACAACTACTAAACTTTAAGGTTTTTTTTATTAACTGTCGTTAAAATATATAAAAGGAAAACTAAACAAAATAAAAAGAACCGACCAAGTGCGTGTCCGATACATGCATTGAGTATTTTGTTCATTGAAGATTCAGCAGTTAGTCGAGCTCATGAATCATGATTTCGGCGTCTACTATCTTTTAATTGAGTTTCTTTTTACTGTTCGCTATAATAAAGAGAAATAAACATTCTGATAACTTTCTACCTATTGTGATTAATGGGACATAGTCCCCTAACAGACAGACGGACAAACCGAAGGCAAATGTTAATATTATACTCTATTCCAAATGCAATTTTAAAAATCTTACATTCGCATGTTATTATTTGTTATCGATAATATAATAATATTGTACTAGAACTTTTTTTTAGTATTTGTGTGATAAAATATCAAATCCTCGAAGAAAGTTATTTGATAAAAAACTTATGGTCCGGAACCACTATGACGTAGCTGATAAAGTTATTGAGCACAACAAAAGTTGAATTAAAATTGAGACATCTATTCTATTCTGAAAATATGTCTTATACGACGAGTTCCGACTACTTCCTACTAAAAAGTATTATAAATGCGAAAGAAAAGAACTAAAGAATTAGGATTAAAGTTTAAAGTCTGCCATAATAATTATGTGATCAACAATAGGTAAGAATTTCACGAGTTAAATATAAAATTTCGAAAAATGAAATCAATGTGTAGTTTCCAGGAGAACCTCAATAAAGACCTGTTCAGAAGATCCGAAGTACTGAGAAGGAGAATTATCGAGAATATTAAATGAGAAGTCCCGGAAGCAGGATATGGAAGGTGGACAGGGTTTCCGATTCCAAGATAGCGTGAATATTTCGATTGGTAGATGGCGTGGATACCAAGTCCGCATAGTGTGCATAGATACTCTCAGCATTAATGATTAATGTGAAAGGACATGGTAAAGTTTTGTATGAGCGACTGCCCTGGCAATGTATAAATACTGTACTTAGTAACATTTAATGGTAAATAGCTGAATATTTATAATTTCTGTGAAAAAAGGCTCCGGAACTTTTGATAAAGACACAATCTTGAAAATTATGAGAACTTCTACTATGTCATTACCTTACTACAGTTGATAAAAGATGTTGCCGATTATTTACAGAGTCATCAATTTCTCATTTTCTTATAATCTTTCTTTCCATTTCTCTGATTAACTCTTCACAAAAAGTTTTTTTAAAACAAAAATAAATATAAATAATTTGTTATCCTCGGCCTGACAGCAAATCCGTGAAGTTTTATTTCATCTATTTGCAAAAATTCAAGAATTAATTATCATACAACCTTGTCTCAAGCCAGATTAGAATAATAAAAGCTATTATTTTATTCTTGCCGTGATTTGTTTTAATAAAAATTAGGGCCAAATATGTCATAGTTTGAAGGAGTTTAGAAATAATATTGTTTATTTCGATATACTTTCACAAATATTTTTTGTGTATATTTATTGTTCATTTATTTTGTAAAACGGAACATTATGCTTTTGAAACAGACATGAAGTCAATTTTTATACTTTTAGATATTTGATTATTTCACGAAAGTTGTATGAGAATAATAAACACGTATTAATTTATAAAAAAATATTATAAAGTTACGGGCTAGTGCGAAATATTAATACACGTTACGGGCAGTTTCTTAGCCATGTCCTTTGTATGTATGTTTGTTACAGTTTCACGCTAAACTGATTTGGATCAAATTTAGACTATACATAGTTTTGATTTTATTTATTTTTTAAGCATTTAAGTGCTAGATGTTTAAATCTAAAGAAAAGTTTACTAGAAAAAAATCCACGCGGACCAGGCAGCGGAAGGGACTCGAACCCGCATCCTTTCCTTAGAAAAAATTTTTTTCTAGTAAACTTTTCTTTAGATTTAAACATCTAGCGCTTAAATGCTTTAAAAATAAATAAAATCATAACTATAATTGCTATTTCTTCTTTCAAATGTTTAATACTTGAAAAAGTATTCATTTGACATTGTGGGTTACCTACAATGCGAAGAGATGGCGCTGCCTTGCAGCTTAAGGCTAGGAAAATTTCGACGCGGCTAATAGGGCCGTGGTAGCATAATGGTCAGTGCATTCGCCCGGATAGCGAAGGATGCGGGTTCGAGTCCCGTCCGCTGCCTGGTCCGCGTGGATTTTTTTCTAGTAAACTTTTCTTTAGATTTATACATAGTTTATCACCTAGATTGACATATAGGATTTTTTTATCCCCAAATAATTTTAGGTTCCTATGGGATTCTCAAAAAACTGACTTTTACGCAGACAAAGTCGCGGCTGAAAGTTAGTAGTATAGTAATAAAATAAAGACATATACTGATCATTACTTAACCAAATTTATTTTTAATAACTAGTAAAGGACAATGTTAAAATTGGCCTAAGAACCAACACCAATTTGGCATTTATGATAATTCTTAGTATATTTTATGGATAATTATCAGTATTTAGATTGTGACGGACACTTCCAGTTAAGTAAGCTTAATTAAAAAGTTAAAAAATAATCTGAGACAATAAATACTATTTTATGTGTATAATCTATGGCAGCGCTGCAAACAAAACACTCTTTCTTCCTAGAAAATAATATTTCATGATTGTTGGTTCTTAGGCTAACTATGTATGTACGCTAAACAATGTTCTTTATACAACATCTGAACTTAACTAAAAAACTTAAATAAATGAACGCAGAATAAACTGAGCCGATTTACCAGAGAAATCAAATAAATTCAATGTCATTTAAGTCACATCTTATCCTACTTCAATATTATACTTAGAAAATGACAACATTATCTTTAATATATATTAAAAGTAAATTGACGTAAAGTACGGTCATTAGTAACTGTTTTTATTAAAAACAAGCACACGGTTACCTAAAGGTGCGCTCGGACTATGCTTACGCTATACTGTTATATAGTATAGCGCGTACAGCAGACTCATACAATATAGCATAGCAAACCTAGACGTGTTCTATGTAAATGTATAAGCCAATAATGCTATATAGGTGGTTTTGCCACCAATAGCATTTTTGGATATTTTGGCGGTAAAACCGGAACCGGTATATTAAAATTGGAACAAAGGAACGAAAAATTTATCTTTAGGCCATACGAATAAATTTGACACGTAGCAACAACAAAAAAAGGAAGAGGAGTTATGACGTCAACTTTTCTTGTATTGTTATTAGCTTTTTGGATGGTACTCATATAGTAATAGCGTAGTCTGAACTGAACATACGCTTAAAGACGATACGACAGACTAACTTGCTACGACGCGATACATAATTGTGCGTAGGTACGTCCACGTAGTGTTTTGTACCATTCAATCAGACAAAAAACGTGATTTTTTCGTCTTTATCCATTTTTTATATATTTTTTTCTTTTATCGGCAGTGTAAGATAGACTTCCTAAGTATATACTTTATTATACCAACCACACCACGCACGCTCACGTAATGTTTCGACAGTTCATATTTTCTGCTGCTATTCACAGAAGAGACGTAAATAAACAATTAGTAACTCCGCTATTCATTATTTTATTTATTGAAAGTCTTCGATCAACAATACTTTATCAAAGTTTAAAATATCATAAATTATTTGACATACCTATAACAACAGTAAGTTATTATATTTTTAGGTAAAATCATAACAAAAATATTTATTATCGTAAAACTAACATGATAACCTAGCAAGTAAATGGTCTGTACTCACTATACCGTACCATACTACGACCGTAACCGTACTGGTATACGCTAAAAAGATTAGAGGCGTAATCGCCTCTGTAACTCTGTAACCATTTTGAAATCGGGGTGAAACTTCGTATACCTACTATAGAGAGTTTTCTAGTGCACGCATAAGTTGTATATAAGTTGAAAGCTGTCACTACATCTCCAACCTTACGGAGCACTGTTAAGCCTTATATTCGTGTGCACCACAACGCAACATTCTAGATAATTCGGGTCCACAAAATTCTATTTCCAGATTGTTCATGAGAATATGAAACTCTTGCGTCTCTGCTCTTCCGTCATTCGTGTACACCATCCATTTGATTTCTGACCCACCATAAGCTTATTTTCTTACAAACTTTCTCTTAAATGTACGTATCCCTTGAAACAAACTTATTATTTAACAATCATAATTGTCGTGTCAGATTTTGCAGCGAAATATAAAATTAATTATGGAGTTGCGTTACGATAGACGCTCGACGATAACTTGACGGGAGGTTTTTGGTACATACGTAAGGACATAAAGCTCGGTCGAACAGTTTAAATGGACAGTATAGCTTAGTATAGTATAGCGTATTATGTTCTGCTGTACTTTCCGTACCTATTCATAGCCCGGTCTTGATATGGTACGGTATAGTGGGTAAAGACCTTAACGCAGGGTTGAATTGAACGGTCGTGTGGGGTGATAATATATATTATTCTGTATCCCTCTGTGGAGAATTATTGTGTATAAAAGCAATTAATGAGCGTTTATTTATCAGTGTTAATTAAGCTACAGAAACTACTAACGATGTTGTCTAAAGTGGTGATCGCTTTAGGTTACCTGTGTATGGTGAGGGCAACCACATTTATCATCAACGCACATGACGGTGATGAGATAATTGGTAAGCTAAGGTATTTTTTTCTTCCGCTTTCAAAACCAATTAGAACGTATACCTCTACAGATCTCTATATTGAAAAAGTTAATGTGAAAGAAGACTAGATATTAGAGTTGAATAACTTCAACTCATTCGTAACTTTAAAAATCTGCAAAGTTTAAAGTGTGATATTGTTAATCAAATATAAATGAAAACATTTCACATTGTATAGCAGAGAGATCACTCTGCCAAAATACTATAAAGTATTTTTCTCTTTGGTCAATATCATCATCAGATATTTGAAATCCATTATCTCACATAAAATATTATTTCCTTGTGATTATTTCTGAAAGTAATGTTTGTACCGAAAAAAGTCAATGTTTGTACCGTCATCCATACTTATATTTATTTTTTAACACAGTTTGAATCAACTTTGATTATTTAAAAAAAAACTACAATAAAACGAAAGCTTTCAAAAATTTTCAACACTAAATAATATTTATACTTGCAGTCCTTTGAGAGCCAAGATGAAGTTTGAAATAGTTCTTTTTTTTAAAATATAACTATAAACAAAGAAAAATAATAATAATGATAATAATAATCTTTATTTTTGAACCATGACGTATACATTATAACAATTTAGCGTTAACAACCGTAGTAGTCTAAGACTGTGTTACAGTTATTAGCGCCCACCTCAAAAGACAGGCACATTACAGACATGATTTGAAACAAAGTGTTTATAATACATTACACTGTGTGTGTTTGTGTGTGTTTGTGTGTGTGTGTGTGTGTGTGTGTGTGTGTGTGTATGTGTATATGTAGTATGTGTGTGATAGAGAGATGTGTGTGCATGTGCATATTTTACTTGATCAACAACTCCACAGTGTCATATTCCAACTCCAGTAACCACCCGCTCAATTTGATCTTACATTCATACTTTGAGAGAGGGTAAATGTTAAGCCTTTTATTTACTTTGTTATAGAGAAGGGGAGAAATGAAATCATAATGATGTTTTAATAGGGCTATTCGAGAATTTGGAATTTTACACACATTGTCTTTCCTTCTTTTATTTAGTAGGGTGCAAGGGTCATATGGGAGTAGCATATGCTTGCGTAACACAACTTGTTGGACGAATAGTTTGCGGACAGAAAGTACCTGCCAGAAAGCATACACTAACTGGGTGCTGTACCTAATAGGTTTAAATGCCATAACTTTCAAGATGGCTCTTTGTGCTCTTTCAAGTTCTAACATCTTTGACTTTCCAGAGCCCCCCCAAACCGTTATACAGTACGATATTATTGACTGTGCCAGAGAAAAGTATGCAGTTCTGAGGATATGAGAATCAACGAGATGTCTCAGTCTGCTGAAAACAAAAATTAACTTTCTGGTTCGCGAAGTGATAGATCGGATATGTTCGGTCCACGACAACAGATTATCAACAATAACCCCAAGATATCTAATGCTATTTGTACGTGTTATTGATACGCAAGTGCATGAGTTACTGGCTGGCAAATTACAATTATGTGCTTTCAAACAGTAGTCCGAATCGGGTTGTGAGGAGAGTCTGGGAGCAAACGTGATAAATTTAGTTTTATTAATATTTAATGTCAGCATGCTGTTCGAAAGCCATGACATGACCACACTCAAAGCCAACTCAGCGGAAACCCTAGCCTCGTCCCAAGTCTTCCCATTTACTACAATTGCTGTATCATCGGCATAAGACAGGATTTTACAATTTGGCAGTTTTAATTGACACAAGTCATTCATATATATTAGAAACAGGGTAGGTCCAAGGACGCTACCCTGTGGTATACCATATTGAATTGGTTCTTCCTAACTTGTATAATTAGCTATCCGAACAAATTGTCTTCGCGCATTTAAGTAGCTCTTGAATAATTCAAGTGAGACACCCCTAACACCTATACTCTGAAGTTTGCGTAAGAGAATAGGGACAGACACAGTGTCAAAGGCTTTAGAAATATCTAGGAAAACACACAAAGAATTTAATTTATTATTAATATTATTCAATACTGTACTAGTGAGCTCCAAAACAGCATCCTCTGTTGACTTACCTGGTCTGAAACCATATTGATTTGGAGCCAATAAGTTTTTAGAGTTCAAGTAGTTAGTTAATCTATTATTAAGAATTTTTTCGAAGATTTTTGACAAGGTTGTTAAAATAGAAATGGGTCTATAATTGGTTACACTGTATCTGTCTCCGCTCTTAAAAATGGGATAGACTATTGCTTTTTTAAACACAGCAGGGAAAGTACCAGTAGAGAAACAAAGGTTAAAAAGTTGAGTCAATACTGGAATTAAAACATGCCTTGACTCTTTTATTAATACATTAGAGATGCCATCCCAGCCCGTTGCACAATCCAATCGTAACCCCAGGATTATATTTTCAATTTCTTTGTCATGGGTATCTAGCAGCACCATTGAGTGCATTTCAGAAGTATTACAATCTATGATAGGACAGTTAAAAGAAGATTCTACAGAGCTTTTGGCAATTTTTGATGCTAAACTTTTTCCAACACTAGCAAAATACGTATTCACAAAGTTAACAGCCCTTAAAGGATCTTCCGACACTGTTAGAAGTTCATCACAAGTAGATGCAGTAGTTTGCTTGAGATTAGTGGTACTCTTAATCAGATTCCAAACTTTCTTCGGGTTTTTGTTACATTTAGTGAATTCTGATCGCTCATATTCTTGTTTTAATCTTTTTAGGAGATTATTACAAAAATTCTTATATCTTTTATATGATATACTTAAAACGTCGTTGCTTGGATGTTTTTTTGTTTTAAGATAAAGCCTATCTCTATGCCGAATGCAGCGAAGCAATCCTGGAGTAATCCACGGCTTGGAGATGCGCTTTCTACTAGGGATATAAACAATGGATGTATTGGCTTCGACTGCGGTAGATAATTTATAAATTAAAATGTTAGCAGATGTGTCAGCATTTTCATTGTTAGTAACATCAGAAAAATCTATATTTTCAATGTCATTCACGCAAGCTGGGATGTTTAGACGTTTTAATGTAAACTTTTTGGGTAGATTATTTGCCCTGCTCTTCGTCTCAGTGCAGAATAATAAAGGAGAGTGATCAGTAAGATGAGCATCTAAAACTAGAGTAACGGAATTTTTATCTGATTTAAGGATTACATGATCGAGACAATTTTGTATGCGAGTTGGAATGTGATGCGTAGGCAACATAGAATGTGATGCTAACAAATTGAGATAAGAATTTGAGTTTTGGTCCATGTTTTCCTGGGTTATATTAATATTAAGGTCACCGATTAGAGCTATAGTTTTAAAAGAACGCAGCGAGAGCAAAAGAGCATCCAAACCATGGAGAAAATCATCAATATTTCTACAGGATGGAGAACGATAGACTGCCACAATCACAACATTATTTGGGAGTTCCACGGTCAAGCAGTTAGCATCAGTTATGCTAGGCTCCTTCACTTTGGCTACTATATCATTTTTTGTATAGACAACTAGTCCATCGTTTTGGTTGCTATAACTTGAGTTATAAGTACGATATCCCGGTATTTGTGGAAGAAACGGACATTTGCTTAACCAGCACTCGGATAAAACCATCACGTCAATATTCAATTTAATTCTTTCCAATAACAAAAGAAAATTATTAAAATTAGTAGAACAACCAATGCTCCTTATATTAACATGAAAGAATATCAATTGATTCTCTGGGTTACATACATGCAAAGATGCACTTTCTGGTGTACTAATATATGATTTACCAATGGATACATTATCAATGTCCAAAGATATCTCCATATCCATTAAAGAATATATATGATTTACACATTGTGTACGAACAAAAGATCTCTGTGGATTTTCTAATGTTAAAAAAAATCCCCAAAAGCACAGAAAAGGAAAACGACATTTGATGCTAAAATCCTGGCACTGCAGACTTTATAAAGAAGCAGCAGTAGAGAAATGCTGTATGTGGTGATATGAATGCTACTAAAATGAGCGTGTATATGAGACTCGTGAGTATAACCTCCATGTAAATATTTTAGAATGAAAGTAGCGTGTTTTCGACTATATGTGTGTTTGATCTGAGTATGGAAGAGTGAGTTATTGAGTGTAAATATGTGTGCGTAAGATTTATACATTATATTAAATTGCAAATGAGTTACAGTACAACAATAACAAAAAATATCAACATAAAAAAGTTCAACAGAAAAGTAATTTGACATGCATAAATAAAAGAAACAACAGCCTAGTCATTCCGGTGTATCCAATTTTTTTAAATCCGATTCATCTTTTATTAAATGGTAAGAAGACCCTTCTTTTTCTCTAATAAATATCTTGCCATTTGTAGTCCAACAATATTTATATTGTTTACTGCTTGCGAAAACACGAGTTAGGTAAAATAAGCGTTTCATTTTAGCAGTAAGGTTTTCACAGATATAAATTTGTTTCGAGGGCCCACTTATACCTATTTGTTCCGTCATAAGCTTGGAGTGATCCTTATTATACTTCCTGTATGCCTTCATTACAGTATCTTTAGCAATAATGCTCATAAAATCTACAATGACAGTTTTGTTGTCTGGGTTTCTAGTGGTGATACGAAAAATGTCTTTGACGTCGTTGGTCAGTATGTTGGCATTTAGGACCTTACCAATCTTGGTGACTGTTTCAATCAAGCTCGACTTAGACTCAGTTTTATTAACAGGTAAGTTTTTTATTTCCAGACAAGTTGAACGCACTCCCCTTTCCATGTTCTCTAATTTGAGTTCAAGAGATTGTATATACTCCTGTTGATGCGTATTTTGAACCTTAAGATGATCAACCTGCTCTATGAGTGCATCATACTTGGCCGATATAAAATCAATAGACGCTCTAATGTCCGTGTTTTGTGATTTAATTTCATCAATTGCGGCATGAATTTTTTCCATCTGAGATTCTTGTTGAAGTTTGAGATCCGACATCAT